AATGGAACTCAACCAAATTCAAGTGTACCTATAACAGATAATCCAGTGAATTTTACTGCAAATTATTACATTCGTGTTTATACATCAGGTTGTTATTATATTGATTCAAGTAACAATTGGCAATCAGCTGGCTGTGTGGTAAATAAAATAAAGATTTTTTTATTGAGAATAAAATACATATCATATTTAATTTAGGTTGGCTCAAAAACTTCGCATACACAAACAGAATGTTATACGAATCATTTAACGACATTTGCTGGTGGTTGGATAGTCTTACCAGCACCAATTAATTGGAATTATGTATTTGCTAATGCTAGTTTTGCAAAAAATATGACAATTTATTTAACACTTATACTCCTATTAGTACTTTATATATTATTTATGATCTATGCTCGATATAAAGATAAGAAAGATGTTGAAAAGGTATTAAAAATAGAAGTTGAAAAAAATTTAGATTTATTTTTTAAATATTTTTTAGCTTGGTGTTACTCCATTGCCGGATAATATTTTGAATGATAAATATTATTATCAAATTATCGTATTTACCGGTCTACGACGAGATGCTGGAACAGAATCAAAAGTAAATAAATTTCATATTTTTTTTTTATTCGAAAAGAATATCTTATTTGATTTCTTTAAAAGGTTCATTTTATTATATCTGGTGATGATGAAGAAACAGGTGTACGAACATTTGAAGATAAACATAGAAAAGTTTTACAACGTGGTGGTATTGATTCATTTATTATGGCTGTATCAAAGTAAATTAGATATTTCTATATGAAAAGAAAATTTTATTTTTTTTTAGACCACTTGGTCGACTTAATTATATGCGTGTTTGGCATGATAATTCAGGTACAGCAAATAAAGCGTCATGGTTTCTTAAATATATTGTTGTAAGAAATTTACAAACAATGGAAAAAAATCATTTTATTTGTCAACAATGGCTTGCTGTAGAAAAAGATGATGGAGTTGTAAGATTAATTAAGAAAGATTTTTTTACGATAAAATATTTTATGTATATATTTGCTTAGGTTGATCGATTAATACCGGTTGCAGGCGATGAACAAAAACAAGAATTCTCCTATTTGTTATCAAAAAAGACATTTCATTCAATGTCGGATGGTCATCTTTGGTTTTCAATTTTTTTAAGACCACCATCAATACGATTTACACGTTGTCAACGTTGTACATGC